ATCGTCATCGTCGCCGTCGTCGTCGTCGTTGTGTTCGTGTCATCATCGCCGTTCTCGCGGTTGCTATCACGCGCGACAGTATCTTCGTCGTTCTCGTTTGCGTTCGCGGTGTACGTCGCTGTCGTTTGCGTCGCGCGTCCCTCGTCTATGCGTCAATCCTGTCCTACCGATCGTCCTCGACCCAACAACGACGGTTCGTTGTCCACGCGTTTTTCAAAGGCAAGAAATATTGTCGCGCGACGTCGCGTCATCTAGTCGCCTACTCTCGTGTGAACCAGTTTCCTCAGTGAGAAGAAAAGCACCTACGCGTCGCGAAGGAAAACTCGTGGTTGGTGAATCGTTGAACGAGGGGCAGCTTGGCTGCTCCTCGAGCGAAGCCGACCAGCGTCACGCGGAACACGGACCTGTCCGCAACGAGAACGAAGTCGACGTCGAGGCCCGTATCGAGTGACAACGGTCGACTGTCATGGACACGATTGTTCCAGTGGTTGTGCACAGTGAAATTGTTACTTACGTACACGGTCCAACGTACTCCGTGAGACGCGACAGTTTACCCGAGTGACAGTGACGCTTGCGAAGAGCTGAGATACCCGTGGCTGACCCTGGATCGACGGCAGCTTCCTCGTCGGCTGGCTCGTCGGCTGGTGTTGGCAGCCGAACGAGCTAGAATCGGCACGAAAAGAAGAAGAGATCGGTCTAGTATGCGTTGACTCGTGCCGGTATCCCGAGTTCCTCGTATCTCGTGGTGTCCACGTGGCGAGAACTGCGGCGAGGAGAGAGGGAGAGCGAAGAAACGACATCTCCGAGGAACGGGCGAGAAGGAGTTCCCATTGAGAAGGCAAAAGAATAAATCTTAAGGAACGTGGTCAACAAGAGAAAGACACGTGTCCTTTAGAGAGTCGATGGATCACGGAGCGATGGATAGCGCTTCGGATCACAGCAGCCGCGCCAGTCCCGTAACCGGCAGTCCCAAACATCCACACAGCCCGTCGGCTCAACAAAATCAGCAACAGCTTCACGGGTCGCAGCATCAACCGCCACCGTCGCATCAACAACCTCATCCGCGGGACCAGATTCGCGAGCAACAATCGCAACAGCAACAGCATCGCGGCGTTCCCACGCCGGGATCGCCAACCAGAGGTTCGCCACCTCAGGGACTTCCGTTGAGTCCGCCGCCTCTTTCCGCCGGAGGAGCACCTGGTGCACCGCCAGGCATGGTGCCCCGTATGCCAGGCCTACCGCCACCGGGATTGGGCCTGTTGGGACAACTCGGCGGCATGCTCAGCGGTCATCATGGCTCGCC